CCGACCGATAGTCGCATTCCGCTCCCTCGGTTAGAGCAGCGCTCTTAAATATAAGAGCACATATATCACTCACTCGCAAACACATACACATATACCTATACCTACACGTGCGCGTATGCATGTATCGATACTCGGTACTTCCTATTCGGCACTCTTACATGACCCACATGAGTAGAAAGTTAAACGATGCGAGGCGAATTCAAGTAATGCCGAGAGTCACAAATCCGTCATTTCGGAAGAACGAGCCAGCGGCTCGTGTGTTCATAAATATAGCGGAATCGTCGAATCTTCCTAAGGATGTATGTATGTATGTATGTATGTATGTATGTATGTATATAAATATATTCTCTACGTCGCTCCATTTCTGTGACGCGTTTGGAATTTTTAACGCTCTCCGCGTCATATGCGTTATATATTTTTGTTTTAATGGAATGCCAAGAGAGAAATGACACGATTAAATTTACATTTTACGCGAATGAATCAATTGCACTCCGTTAATGAAACGGTGATATCCTAGCTTGTAAGTTAGAGCACAAATTAAAATTGTTATCACGTGCGTTGGTAAAAATAAATATTACGATAAATGCTAATAAATTTTAAAAAATATAAAACCACGTGAAAATTGATTGAACTAAATCTGTAAAATGTATGAAACGATTGGAAAGGAAATTGAATATTTTATATTTAAATACGTTTCACAAATTCTAATATACATACTCTGTGAAAAATCTGATTTACTAATTAAAATTATATTAGCTTTCAGGTTAATTAACGAATGCATTCGTAAAATCTAGAACTCGGCAGCTCTTTATTTTGAAAAAGTATTTACACTTCAAAAAATTTTAAATATTCTAAAAAAAGATATCTCTTGATATTGACTTTGTACATCAAAATAATTTTTAGATTTATCGTAAAACGTTTAATTTTTACTGTACGTTTTATTCATGAAAAATTATAAGTCTAACTTTTCAATATTTGTATATTTTTTACATATGCGTAAATTATAGAATATCGCCAAGAATGCATAACACTTTATGAAATAGTATGTGAGAAAAATGCTAGATATATTTCAGAGATTTCTATAATACATCGATACATCCGAACTATCACCGTTTCTATTGATTCATTTCTATTGATCTTCAGATACGAGACGCGTCTATATCCTCGATTATATCGCCATCGGAAGAAACGAACAGATAGAGAAGAAAATAGCTGGCGCGGTTAATTAAGCGGACTCTAGCAGAGACTAGTGCACCTTCCCTCCGACTGAAAACCTATTAACTCAGCTACGGACGATCGATGCACATCTCGGTTAAGCTAATCTATATTTACGGTACAAAGATCGAACCGGCAATACAATTCCAACGGAATACGTTTCCCGACCCTAAACCAAAAATAGCATACTCAATGTTTTGATCAAAAGAAAAATCTCCTATACCGATAAAAATGTTGGACGATTCATAAAATAGATTCTACAATATACCGGTTTTCATAAATATTGGAAAGCTAAGAACGAGAATTCGTTTCAGTTTATAGAAATAGTTAGATCAAAAGATGACACAAATTTATGTCGATTCGTCTTCCGTCGTGAAATTGATCTCAAAATTGAATAGACGTCAATCAAGAATACCTACAATGCGACATTTCGCGCTCCAAAGTTGTCACGAGAAATCCAGGATGCAATAGCGCGCTATAAACGGACATTATTATATACATATATATACAAAATCATACACAAATAGAGCGATTATAATAAGGTATAAATATAAAATTAAGAGTGTGGTCCAGGAATAGTGACGGAAGGAAAGAGAAGGAGAGTATATGAATTAATACGCTTATAAATTATGTACGCGCGTAAATGCCTATCGCCCCGGCTATTAAACGCTCGACAAGCGCAGTTCCCCTTTAGTCTTGTGTAGCACACACGCGCGCGCACACACACACACACACACACACACACACACACACACACACACGCACGCACGCTCACAAATACATACACACACATACACACTCTCTCGTGTAATATCATTTCCGCATAAATCTTATAAAGCGCGCGGCTGACGCTAGGCGACGGCGGCGTGACTGGCTGGCGAGTCGCGCTTAAACCGCGAAGATGAGAGGAGCGAGATAAGAGGAAAAAAGCTTGCAGGGAAAATGGATGCGTCATGTACTGTAACTTACTTTGCCGCACGAGTTAATCCAACTATGAAGTTTCCCATATAAGGGCGCGCGCGCGCGCGCGACCGCTCTTTCTCTTAAGTAGTTTAAGTTAATCAATGCTAATTTCGTTCCGCTTTAGAGAGCGGCCGCGAGACGAGAGATTTACGCAATCGGGCGTAACTCTTCTCTTTTGTGAACCGCGCTTTCTTCGTCGTGGCTCGCGCAAGCTCTCTGTCTTGGGCTACTTGCGACGTAGCTCTGATTAGTGTTCTTCATAATCTGGATTAAATGGCGAAAACCGCGTGACTTATTGTTCCGCGCATCGCCCGGGATAAAGTTTCAACTCGGATGATAATTTCGCAACAGTACAACGGGATAATGATAAGCTCCGTTGAAATGCGAAAGTTCTAAAGATAACTTTTGCTCCGCAGTATATAACTTTCATTCAAATATACGTATTTATTAAATTAGATATGTGCATTACGCGTACCATATTTATTTGAAGAATGCATCTTTTAGGAATACGCGTGATAAACAAAATTACACACATGAAGATTCTTTTTTTCCAAAATAATTCCAAGTGTCCATATGCAACTAAATTTTACGTTACTCATAATGTTATTTTAAAGCATACTTTTTGTACAGTTAGAAAGCTGACGTAATAACTAAAATTTGTGTAATCATAAAAAAATAAAGCTCTTTGCATAAAACGTTGATAGACGTATGCAAATTAGATTTTTGGAAAAAAAAATTCGCAACCAAAGAGAATTTAGCTCGTTATTGTTATTTCGCTTGGGAGAAAAACAGGCTTGTTTACTATTAAAAATTCAATGCGAGTCCATTGGTTCGATCAATGTCGGTCAATGAAATCAATCAAAAAGAAAACGTACTTTCCGAAACAACGAATTAATATCTGAAATGAAAAATGGCTCGGCAGACGGATCATCCTATAATTATTGGAAAACGCGAATCCTGCGGTAGGGCTTGAACAATTATTTTCCTTTACCTATTTCGCGTGTTGTGTCGTCGAATACTATATTATAATCCCCAAAGATACTTATTTATAAAATAGACTTATTAAAAGTAATATTAAAGTCGCTGCATGTAATTCGAACTTATGTCAAGTTTTTTTATATCTCCAATCTTATTCTAAATTGTTTTAAAAATATAATTCTTTTTCTTTTTTCTCTCTCTTTTTGGTCCTTCTTTCAAAATATATGAAATGTGTGTAAAATGATTTATTATAAATAATTTATGTATCTGTTTGTTGATTATGCAAATTTATTATGAAGGATAATTGAAGTTTAATTAATTGACATAATATTGATAAATAAAATAGTATACATTAACCCCTGATAATTAAAAGATTCATGTGTTCCCTCATTACTATACTTTTTCCTAATCTACTGCAACTTTCATTTAATTTAAATATATAAAAATTATAATATATTACAATTTAAATATATTATATTAAGTCTCTTTTATTATTTTTATAAAATTATGTTAAATTCTCTTTTTCTTACAAGATTCGCGATATTTTGCGAATAATATTTAGCAGATATTAAATCGTCGATACGCGAAATAATGGTATTAATAAGAAGCGCGATTCAAGTTTTCGATAGTTCTATCATAGAATGTGAATCTATTTTTCGATGGATCTAACTGCGATTTCTATGAGGATGAGGCACAGAAAAGCGGAAAATGGGAGTAAACGATATTGCGCAAACCGTTGTTATTTCCGTCGCTTTCAGGGAAAAGAACGAAGCTTGGCGAGACGGAGAGACAGGTACATCTGGGAAACAGTCACATTTTACGATCTCTCGCCGCGGGCCACGAATATCGCGGACATAAAAGCGCTGCGAGAAGAAAAAGAAGGAAAGCTCTCGTGCGGCAGCTTTTGTTTTAAAAAACGCAGCGGATAATTGTTCTCGGATCGCTTTGAGATGGCGCCGCGTCAATCTGCCTCGTCGCGTTGTCATAAACTTTATGAAGAATTAATTCCACAGTTGAATGCCGTTATTCTGGATCGGATATGCATCCTACGCATTTACGGAAGCTTATTTATATAAAAATGCAAGATAGAGGAAAAATCTATTAATTTTTTTACTGCATGTTTACCATAGAAATTTACGCACGCGTAATATTAACGATATGAAAACAGAGTTAAGTACGCGAATTGATAATAAAAAGAACACTCTAATATCTCTTTGTATAGGATGCTCCAGAAATGGATCTCTTTGCAGATTTTTTCGGATTTTTACAGAATAATTGGATTTTATTTTATAGCTGAATAAAGACAAGTTTAAACAATCAACCTAAATTCAGTAATATTTTAAACAAACAGATTGGAACTGACACGTGAGTCTTAAATAATAAATTTTTATTACTTAAGCTGCATGTAAGAAGGTAAGAATGTATTTTTGATTTATTTTAAAATTTATCTTCTTAACTCAGAATCTTGATGTAAACTTTATCCAATATTTTTAAGGTTGGAACTAGAAATACCTAGTTTAATAATAAGAGAAAGCGAGAGATTAAAAACTATTTTACTTTTGTTCCAAAGTTTCTATCGATGTACATACGTAGCAAGTAGCCAATAAAAATAAGTAGTACCTAAAAATATTTTGTAAGAAATTGAGCAATATATTAAAAGAATTATAACATTGTCTTCTCGTTAATAAAAAAAAAAAAAAAAAAAAAAAAGAATCGCACAATTCTCAACAATTCGTAATTGATTTGGCAATAATTTTTCATATACGAATAACAACGAATTAAAGAAATTTCAGCATAAGTATGAATGAAATTCAATGATCGTAAGAGATCGACAAAGAGCTTACCTTTATCAGGATGTAGACTATCCTCGATAATCCGTACACCTAAAATCTCCCGTAGCAGCTAAACATCATGAACCGCCCTTAATGGCTTTAGGAAACACGTTCACCACCTTTCAGCACCATTCGCGACAGTCTCGGGGTATATGACCCCGCGGGAATCACGTGTCTCACCGCGAAACGACCGCGCAAACGCTAATTATGAAATACTCTTCGGTGTACACTCGAGCATATCGTGATCAATTCTGACTTCATTTGATAGTCCTTTCGCCCTGTCTCGTCATAGTCTATCGCTCTACGTCTCTTCGTAAGATTCCAAATATGGGAACCGCGAAGGGAGAAATTTTTTTGTTTTTAATCAAAAAATCTCAAGAGCGGAAGACCTTCGCCGCGAGTCTCTCTCCGATCGTCGAGAAGACTCCAAGTGTTTTCGACTCGACGCGACGCGCGGTTTCGCTGGCGCGGTCACGTGGCGAGGGACTCGTTTGGGTATCGAGCGGAGACGGCGGAACGCGTTACACCGTCTCGGTGATCCGTCGGGGACTGCGTTCGCCACTGCTCCCCACCAGGCATCTCGGGGGTTGGACACCCCCTTGTCGGTTCGGCATCCCGACGCGCGACGTCGCTCCGCCTCCACGTGGAACACCGAATCCCCACCTAGTGAAGGTACCAGGGGCTTGATCCCCGATGGACCTCGACGGCGTCGTCTTAAGTCGACCGCGACGCCAAGGAGAGAGACTCGTCGTCGGGCGAGCCGGCGACCAAGTCGGGGGGTGCTAATGATATTTTGTACAAGTATCGCTAATTTCGCCTTCGTACACTCGGATGATCTCTTCTGAATCTTTGTTTTCCATGAAAAAGTGTCATCGATAAGGGTTACGTTATCTTATTATGCGTTCTAAGATTTTTCCTTCCTTAATTTTGCTTAAAAACCATTATTTCCATGAACGTTAATTAATAATAAAAGTGATTGAACTTCTCAATCGATTATTCTCTGTAGGGCATATTCTAGAAATAGAAGTAAAAAAAAAAAAAAAAAAAAAAAAATACGGAGAAAGTTAGACTTGTCCAACAAACCGTGATGATTCGATAAAACATACCTTGTGAAATTGTACTTTTTCATAATATGATTATGAAAAATTCATTATAATTTTAGCATTAAATTGAGAAATAATTTATTAATTGTGATACAATTACGTGCAACTTTTTAATGGGTGAATCGATGACGCAATTCATTTGAAAAATTGCAATAATCTCGAGAGGATATGACATTATTCACAAATTTCGCGTCATTTGCACTAATGCGTGCATGCGACAGTTATACACAAGCATCCGGGGCAAAGAATTTCTCCGCAAACCTTCATGTTTATTCAGCATTTTTAATGGCGCCTCCACTCTCCGCTCTCGCATCTTCCTTTTGTCTCTCCCCGACGCGCTATTGCAATTTCTCACATAAATTTAATAATTAAAAGCGCAGGAACATCGGAAACACATTTAATATTGAAATAAAGTGGCGCGTCGCGTCGTATCGCGGTCAAATCATAATAGCATAACAAGATAAACGTAATGCGAAATTAAATTTATGCGATATTCATAGCATGAACGATTTGATTGCGAACGCGGCGCGGACGAATAAAAATTTTACACCCGGGCGAATATTTACAGCCGCACCCAATTAATTTCCGCATGATACGCGACGCGCGAAATCCTTGTGTTTGCAAATGAATATACTTGCCGCGGGACACGCGCGTTACAAAAATCTTTTATGCACACGCGTATTTCCATAAAAATAAATTGTCCCGCACTTCAATGTTTTACGAGTATTTGCGCGCGAACCGACAAAATTCGTTTTGCGGCTATAAAAAAAAGAGCTCTTTCCACGAAAATTTAATACCTCCGCTCTCTTATATCGAATCTACAAAATTACTATCTCTAAATACACTAATTTTATAAACCCTTTGTAAATTGTATAATTCCTTGAAATCTTACAAGACATATTTTTGCACGTAGAAGAAAGGACCCCAATATAAGAAGCACGCAGACGAAAGCTTTGAATAAATTTTTATTAACTCGTAAAATTTTTCGTGTTCGCTAAATACATTTTCACGGTTCCAAAGGGAATGCCTTAAAATAATGAAAGGGGCTGAAATGTCCTGCAGTTTAGTTCTCCCTTTGGAGTTCCACGGTATTAAAACTTTGCATCCCGTACTGACTTTATATTCTGCGAGTCTATATGACCGTAACTAGTAAATATAGTATATATTATTGCAGCCAATTTTTTTTTTTTTTTTGCTATTTTTATTTATTTTTACAGATGTCAGAATCTTTTATATCTTTCAAAAAAGAGATAATTAAAAAATATAAAATACACGCAATATTTTCCGAAAGTCGAAAGCAGAGATATGTAGCTATGTTATTTCTAGTGGGCTATTCTGTATATTCAACTGTTATTACTTCGTGTTCTAGGCGCACAAGATAAACGTCATTAGCAGCATCAGCAATGAACGTCCATCGAGGGCAGAATGCAATCTCGCAAACTAATTGCGATCGCAGACATACAAACTATGTTCAAAGCAGCTATAAATGTGCAAAAAGAGGCTGCAGATGCGTGTACATATGCATAGAACCCTTCTCGCGCGTATCATCGGCACCATTAACGAAAATTCTGACCGGACACCTCGCCTCCAATTTACGTTGAAACGCAATCATAATCGACTTTGTCGATTGAGCAAATTTCGAAGCGCGCCCCTTAATTTCAGGAAATTTCATATATTTTCTCCATTTAAACGCATAATTCAATCCACGCGCGGCATTAATTCTCCGATTTAGCTTCTGCAATGAAAGTCAAACCCTTCCCAAAATATGCGATGCCTTCTATACGTCACACACAAGATAATCATTGACCTGCATAAAAAATTGTTTTTAATAAAAATTATTATTATTTTTATTAAAATTTTATTATTATTAAAAAATAAAAAGTTCATATAATTTTTGAACTTTCTACCATGATGTAGAAATTCTTTTTCGTGACTTTTACAAATTAATAAAATAGTTAAAAGTCGTCTAATACTTGAAAATAAGATTGAGGCAATAACTACGAAATGCTTGGTATTCTGGCGGTTATAGAAAATACTTGGATATTGCTAAAGTTAAAATATGTTCGGGCAAGTACTTCATCCGAATCCTCAGGCATTTAAAGAAGCCGCGCGCTACTCGATTCTACATAGCAATATTTTGACAACGGAACGCGAAAGCGGCAGAGAGAAATTACTACATCGCGCATGTCGATATTAATAAAAGATATTCCAACTGTACCGATCGCAAAATATTTTCGCGCTGCGTTTCTCGAAGATCCGACGTACCGAGTGCTTTCCGACGAGGCTCTCGAGGCATGCGGTCTTCTCCTTTCGTCGTGTCCGAGGAAAAAGGGAACGACAAGGCGTTCACCCTTTTGCCTCCCCCTTACTCGACCACCTTCCGCTCGGGTCGAAGGTGACGACATCGGTGTCGAGTGTTTTTATTCCATTACCCCAGTAACGTGCGGCGCCATCCTCTTAACCACTTACTTAACCCACGACCTTCGGCCTTGTCTCCCCCTCGTTCGAGCTTGATGGCCTTCGAAAACTCAAATATTATCCGTCGTTCGATCTCGTCCCCGCTGAGTATGGGTACGCCCGGGGATTGTACAATCTTGAGGGGATCCTCTCTCTCTCTCTCTTTCCTTTTTTAACAAAAAAATGTACCTCCGCAAAAGCTTTAAAAGCCTAATTCCTGTCAACGCTGACGGCATCAATAATGTTTCTATCGACCATCGTGATTTTCATTCGATTACTTGTCCGATATATCCCTTGTCATTACAAGTCATCGTCAAACAATGCCAACTTTTTTTAAGTCCGCAGTGTTCGGGGTCATGAGATGCCTTGCCAATCTTGGGAATCTCAAGCAATGGAAGTACGATTGAAAAAATTGACTTAAGGAAAGTTTTATCGTTCAAAAGTTTGTAACGCTTAACACATCTTAAAGCCGGAATTTTTCCACGGAAGAAACTCAAGTCTTAGTAAATCGATTTTTATATGAGAATTCTTTGATCCAAATTAGAATTAAAAATGTCTCCCCTCCCCCCCCTTTCCTCAAAAGTAATAATGAATTTTATAAATAATCTAAAATCTATACAAGAAGAGAGGCAGTTTAAAAAAAGACTGTACTTACTTTTTATTTAATTTTAAAGACTTACTTCGACACAATAATTTTAATATTTAATTATATTACAGGATTAATGAAACATTTAAAGTTGTATGTTACAATTGATTAAAAAATAACATTCGAATAAACCGAAGAATATTGTTAAACGGAAAGAAATGTGAAAGATTTATTTGCGTATGACTTTCTCTGTCGATAAAAATAAAATATTGTTTCAACTGCAAGCTCATCGAAAATGTTAAATCCTATGCAAATCACATCAAAAGCCCAATAAAAATGATGAATAAATAATGATATATCGCTGCGATTATACTTCAAAATTTATCTCTATATCTCTCCGATTTTCTTCTCTCCTTCTCTTTAAAAAATAATCCGCTTTTATTGGCAAAAGTTTCCCCGAAACGAAATATACGTATCTTTCCTTCTTCCTTCCGACTGCAATTTGCAACTTTCATTCCCGTTGATTTTGCGTCACCAGATTGCAAACAGAGGCCGAAAACTTTCACGTACATATCGTCCAAGTTTTTATCGCGCGCAACGCGTTGCGCATTTGCGCGAAATCTGCGTCCGCAACACGTGAACCCGGAAAATCTACTATTCCACTTCGTTAATGAAAGTGATATAACGTTCGGAATGAGATGCAAATGGCCGCGGGATGTGGTTAAAGTGCAAATACCGGCGAGGCGAGTTTTTACCTAACGCCCCGCGCGCCGGCGAGCATAATGCGTTCTTTCTATTCTCCTCAATCGAATCATTTCTATTTTTCTCTGTCGTGTATTCCAACACGCGTCATCTCGAAGGGATGCGAGTAGTCGAATATTTGAAAAATTTAATAACGGGCGAAACGCTGTCCCGAATGATAATTACAAGTAGCCTGTTTCAACGCGCGATGCGACTGCTTTTTCACTTTTACAAACTTTTACTTTTGCAAATCTCGTTGCGTTGAAAGTATTATGAGTAAGCTCTTACAGTGGATTTTAAATTTTTTCACGGATAATTTTATTTTTTTCATATTAGAATAAAAACGCTCTGATACATATATAGTAAATTGTAGTGGGAAATGGACTAGTAAGAGCTAGGCGTAGAAATTAGCTTCAAAACTTATCTTGAAATCTTCTTTGATTTGAATTTTTCGATCTTTCCATTCAGATCGATCTTCAGATCGATTGATAAAAAAAATTCACGCACCTTGATTTTCATCCCCTCAGAAAGTCTTTATAGCGATCGAAGACGAGCTGAAGAACAAGAAGCAAAAAATGCATAATCATAATCTCGATATATATACATATAAAACATAAAAGGTAGGAGGTGGGAATGAAAATATTAAGACACATCAGTTTTTGT